GGATTTTGGACTCAAAAGTTGGAATCCTTGGTTGCTTTTCAAAACCATTTTGAAGCTCATGATGCTGATATCTTTGTTACAAGTGCTCGAAAAGCTGGTACAACTTGGCTCAAGGCTCTTGTGTATGCCATTTGCAACCGTGCAAATCACCCACCTTTAGAAAGCCCCTTACTCGTTCATAACCCTCATGAGTTAGTCACTCAGTTAGAGTCCAACACCTATTTTAAATCGAAGTGTCCGGATCTTAGTAGCCTTAAGTCTCCTAGACTTTTTGGTACCCATGTTCCTTATCCTTCATTGCCTAGTTCGATCAAGGACACTAATTGCAAAATCATTTACATTTCTAGAAAACCATTCGACACCGGATCTTTTACCAAAACAGCTAGTTTGACAAAAGTATTTACCAAAACGGCTAATTATAAATTTTAATTCTCAAACTAGCTAATTTATTAACTTGGAAGGAATTTACTTATTTCTTATTTCCTTTGAACTGGTTTGGTTCACTTTTTTTTTTAACTTTTTTTTAATTACTTAGGGATTTTTTTAAGTTGGAAAATTTAAGCAATATACAAAACTATGAACAACGTAACAGTCGCAGACTCGCAGAACCAAATTTCGATAAAAAAAATTAATTAATTAAAAGCACTAATTTTTCATCTATATCAATCACAAAAATTTGGAATTTCAAGTAGCATTGTTCTATCAAGACTACCGCAAATTTATACGACAATAAGAGATTTTAAGGTATTGTTCATCTTTTTTCATGTCTATTAATTGTATAGTCTTTGTTAATGTCGGCTAGTATGAATATTTTTTTGTTTAATGTGTATGATAAATCAAACTTACATATATATATTTCTATGTTTATGTGTTAAAAAAAAATAGTTGCATTTTTTTTTTCTTTTGTTGATTGGAAGTTTGGATCATTTTTTTGAGTGGTTGTTTATGTTGTGTAACTTTTTAAAAAATTGAGAATTGCTGCATACGTATTATGTTGATTGTTATTGTTCAAATTAATGGGATATTTTAAACTATTGCCTTAGAATTTAAATAAAACCAAAAAAAAAAAAAAAAAAAAAAAACTAAAACTAATTTTTTTTAAATAAAACCAAAAAAAACATAAAGTGAACTGAACGGGTTCAAAGAAATATAAAAATAAATAATATCCTTTCAAATCAATAAATAATTAAATTTAGCTAGTTTAGGAATTAAATTTTATAATTAGCCATTTTGGTAAATACTTTTGTCAAATGAGTCATTTTGGTAAAAGATCCTTCGACACCTTAGTGTCATCATTTTTGTTTTATCAAAATGTGGATGATAATAAGACTCTAAGGCCAGAGTTATTAGGTCAATATTTCGATATGTTTTGTGAGGGGAGAATTTCGTTTGGTCCTTTTGAGGATCATGTGTTGGGATACTGGAAGCAGAGCTTAGAGCGGCCACATAAGGTGTTGTTTATTAAGTACGAAGATTTGAAGGCGGATCCTAAACCTCACTTGAAGAAAGTGGGGGAGTTTGTAGGATGCCCGTTTTCGAAAGAAGAAGAGATGGGAGGTGTTATTGATGGCATTGTCAAGTTGTGTAGCTTAGAGAAGCTAAAAGACGTCGCTGCAACGTCGAATAAGATTGCTAGGGTTTATCCTTCAACTCAAAATGAGAAGTTCTTCCGAAAAGGGCTGTTGGAGATTGGGTTAATTATTTGAGCCCATCTATGGTTGAGAGAGACTTGAGAAGCTCATGCAAGAGAAATTTAGTGGTTCTGGCCTAATGTAAGATTGCTTGTTTTTATTTCCTCTGTTATAAATGAATTATTGTTTGTTTTAGTCCTACATGTCCCTAGAATCCTCTTTCATTAAAACTCTTTATAAATTAAAGTTAGACCATCTCCAATGGTGAGACTCAAATTTGAGTATTAAAATACAAAGTGAGTTGTTTTTTTACTTTCAATGGTACCGTACTTACTTCTCAATTTCGCAACTCATGTGAAGCCTAATTTCCCGATGGTGAAACTCTCTCAAAAATATACAAATGTATCTTTCAATTTATAGCTCACCAAATTCATTTCTTTTTTTAATTTCAAATATTATAAGATTAAAAAAAAGGTAAAACTTAAATAAATTACAAAATATATTAGAATATTGACAAGGGACCCACACTTTTTGTCAAATGAGACTCAATGTTGAGTATCTAAACTTAGCAAATTCTTTTGGAGTTGCTAAGTTTAGATACCAACTTATTGGTATACATTGCAAAAAATATTCTCTCTCTCCTAAAAATACTCAATTGAGTCTCACCATTGGAGAGGGTTTAAAGAAGATTGTTGAGGCAATTTTTTAAAGGACGTAAGGATTGATGGCAATGGGTCTAGCCGTCTAGGACTTGACCTATACCCTCTTAGAATCGACCCTATCATAGGGTTTGGGTCCTAAAATTTTAGACCCAATGGAACTGGATGGATCGGATTTGAATTTAACTTTAATGGATAAGGTTTGAATCCGAGTCTAAAAGGTTTAGACCCATATGATTTGGGTTTCTTATATTATAGAATCTTGATGATGAAATAGATGACGAAATGGAATTTAATAGTAGGGATGGAAATTTAATCCGAGTTGATTCGAATCCGATCCGATCCAAAGGAAAAAATCCGATTCGAATCCGTTTAAAATAAGTCCGAATCCGAATCCGATAAAATAGATCCGAATCCGAATAGGAGGTGGATCGGACTTGGACCTTACGCAAAGTCCGACAGAGTCCGATCCGAGTCCGAATCCGATAGTATAAGCATATGCTCTATAATTTGGGACAATTATTTGCTTGTTTTGTAGCAAAATTTTGTTATGTAACTTAGTTTATAATCTAAATATGTTATGTTTATACTTTAATTGGTATGACAATACAAGCAATTATAGGTATATGACATTACAAAAAATAAAAATAAAAAAAAATATTCAGATCATTCGGAGGTCCGTATAAATGGACCGGATTCGGATCCGAAAATTATGAGTCGGATCGGGTTCGGACTCGGATTTTTCAGATTCGGACTCAGATTCGGATCCGAGTCCATGGTTCGTTTACTAAACGGATCGGATTCAAATTTAGCCACATCCGACCCGAATCCGATCCGTTTTCATTCCTATTTAATAGTGCTATCATATGAAATGGAGGACTTAATGCACCAAAGAAGACTTGCTGCATGCTACAACTTTGTTTTTAAGAATTTTTTCTATTTAAAATATGTGGATTGCTTATGAACTAGTTTCTCCGTTCTTTTTTACTTGACCCACTTTGACTTTTACACTATTCACCACCTCTCTTTTGACTGTTTTTGGTGAATGATATGTAAGGAAAATTATATTCATATGATATCTTTTTTAATTGGTCTCAATAAGTACTATCGTAATATACAAATTTTATAATTTTTACTTAAAAAGAATTAAATTTATTGATCGCTAAAGTTTGCATTGGCAAGCGTGATAAAAGAAACAGGTCAAGTAAAAAAAACAGAAGAAGTAGTAGTTTAGTACAGTAGTATCAAGATTATTTAATGTATCTAAATTTATAGTAGTCACACTATCGTAATAGGTTAGTTTAAATATTTTAATAAATATGTGTAGTATAATAAAACTATAGTTAGACTCATTTTGGACCCAATTTAGACACACTAGACATGTGGATTTGGGTCTGAGTCTAATTGTTTTAGACAGTAGGTTTGGATCACCTCCAAAAATCTGGGTCTGGACCAGATCCGGCCTATTGTCATGCAATAGTGTAATGCCTTTTTTGACATATATTACCTCCGTTACAGGTTATGTGCAACGATTAGATATTTTTTCTCTCTACTTTATGTCAAATCGTTGCACATAACCTGTAATGGGGGTAGTATGTTTTTCATTAATGGTGCCCTAGGCTACTTTAAACACTTTTAATTGATTAAGCAAGCTCATTCTTTGTATATATTTATTTAATCAATAACTATATACTAAAAGACACACCAGCAATGACACGTGTCAGTTTCTGATGTGTCCTTAGTATTTTTTTAAAAAAAATATATTTAATAGAAAATTTATTTCAGGAAATTATTTGTAAAATTTAATTACTACTCCGTATATTAATAGAAATGTATTTGCCTTTTTTTAATATTCACATTCAATTAACTAATTAATATGGAAAATAGAATAGCAAAATATAATCTTTGTAAATATTTTCAAAAAATACAATCTTCTACTATAAGTTTTTATGTGGCAAACATAATATCCGTTTCAAGGATACAATTGAGATAGACAAAAATTAATGACTAAAAACGAGATATTACAATATATGATCACTAATAAATATATACGTACATGATTTTTTTTGTCAATAACCGTGCATGGTACGGGACCTAACCTAGTTATCCATAAAATCTTGACATTTTAGGCTTGCTTGTAAATTCAAAATTGTATGTTTTTGAATACTTTTGCTCTTTAATACCCTAAAGTGTCCCCAAAATTTCGTGTCATTATGTTTTTTTTTTCTTTACTAGAAAATACTTTAATTTTATATTTTAAAACTTTATTAAATGTTTATATTTATTTTTCCTTTGTCATATAAAATGCCTCTACTTTTACTAATTATACACTCTATCCATTACCTGGCTAAGTGCTAATTAAAAAGAATAATGTTGAGGTATAAAATTAATGTCGGACACTATATTATGGCCTATGGGACATAGTAACAATTAATTTGTCTACCGTTACGGACTACTAGAGGTAAATCAATCACGCAAGAATACATCAATAAATAAACTAACAACATGAAATTTTTTAATATTTATTTTTTTTCAGCTGCTTCACGAGGGTCTGATTAAGTAATACTACAATTAACAAGACATCATACCCACGTCCCACTCCACGACGGTCCATCCGTCCATGCATGACTTTTTGTCATTAGTAATCTTTTTATATCATTGCACAAAATCGATCATTGTAATTATATATTAAAGTACTCTTAAAAAAGAAATCAATCAATAATGTCATTTAATTAGTCCATGCTCTCTTTATATCAATATCATAGCTCCTGTATTTGCAATTGTGTATTTCATTTAAGCAATGGAAACCATTATTTCAACAAACACAGAAAAACTGAAAAACTCCCTACCAAAAGAGTTGTGGTTCGATGGTTATCCCTTGTACTTCTACCAAGGGTTTTGGGCTCCAACACTTGAATGCATAACTTCCTTTCAAAACCATTTTGAAGCTCAAGACACTGATATCTTCGCAACCAGCTTTCGCAAAGTAGGCACAACTTGGCTCAAATCCTTGGTGTTTGCCATTTGTGACCGCGCAAATCACCCACCTTCAAAGAGCCCCTTACTCACTCATAACCCTCATGAGTTAGTCCCCCAATTCGAGTCCAATATTTATGCTAAATCAAAGAGTCCAAATCTTAGCACCATTAAGTCTCCTAGGCTTTTTGGTACACACATCCCATTTTCATCCTTGCCAAGTTCAATCAAGGGCGACTCAAAGAGCAAGATCATATATATCTTTAGAAACCCATTTGACACTTTTGTGTCCTCTTGGTTGTTTTATCAAAAAGTGGATAATCACAAGGCTAATATGACGCCTAACATGTTTAACCAATTTTTTGACATGTTTTGTGAAGGGAAAGTTCCTTTTGGACCGTACCCTAATCATGCATTAGGGTATTGGAGGGAGAGCCTCAAGAGGCCGGAGAAGGTGTTGTTTATTAAGTACGAAGATTTGAAGGCAGATCCTAAACCTCAATTGAAAATAATTGCGGAATTTATAGGATTCCCATTTTCAAATCAAGAGGAGCAAGGAGGTGTCATTGATGATATTGTCAAGTTATGCAGCATTGATAATATGAAAAAGGTCGCGGTAGATAGTGAACAAGTTTATCCTCTTATTCAAAATGATATTTTCTTCCGTAAAGGGGTGGTAGGAGATTGGACTAATCATTTGACTCCATCCATGGTGGACAAGCTTGGGAAGATTATGGAAGGAAAATTCTACGATACCGGTTTAACATATATGTAAGAATGATTGTCATCATTACCTTAACTAAAATGTGCTTTAATTTGTATTTGCTTTGTGGTAAAATAATCGATCACATATGATGGGTGATCTACGCTTGTATTTATTTCTATTCTTAAATATGTTTCCTAGCGCTTGGTACCAAGTGTAAGGGAACAAGCTTGGAACGGCTTAGGGATATCCCCAACCCCCTTATTTGTATTGCCAAGTAGTTTATATTGTCTGTAACCCGAATCCCCTTTTAGCTTTTGTATTAGTTTGATTAAGAGGTTTAAATTTGCTCGTTATTGTCTAATGTTAGTTGAGAGCTAGCCTTCTTTTGACCGTTGTCAACAATAAATAAAAAAATAAAAAAATAAAAAAAAAAAAACTTCTTTTATTATTAGAGGCTAAGATCCATGATTACTTGATATAATTGATCTGGTATAAATTTATTAATTTTCTAATTACAGCTTTTGATTGAGGTGACCTTATAACGATGATTATTAGCAAAGCCGAGATCATAGACGCACACAAAAGTTTCATAACCAAACAAACCCAAAATTGGCTGCCTAATTGCCTATAAAACGCCTCACAGCCCAATATAAAACCCAAACCACAATATCACTTATCCTTTTCCCGAACATTCCACCAAAAATAGAAATTCCTGAAAACAAATCCTTCTAAATTTCCCAAATCAAACACCTCTCAAATCTCAATCAAACCCTAATTCTCTCTCATCGCAAAAATGGAGGTCACCGGAGAAAACCTCACCCTTCTCCAGAAAATCCGGCCACCAAATCTCGAAGACGCCGGCTTAGAAGACTGCGCATTACCTCCAGATTTGATCAAAGAAGCTTTTCTCAAAGCAGCCTCCGCCGTTGGCTCACGCGCCGCCTCTGTTTTCGCCGTCGATGATGACGAGATCGACGGCGGATGTGTGAGTGATCCTTGGATTGAAAAACACGCGCCGTCGGATGCATTGGTGGGGGTTGAACCTGAGAAATCGCCTCCGGGAGCATGCGCCGCCGGGAAGGGTGGCGCGTTGGTCGGAGATGGTGAGGCGGCGGGTGATGTGGTGGTTGTCGGAGAGAAAAATGGGGAGGAGGTGGAGGGTGAGGTGGTGAATGCTGGCGGTAATGACGGTGGCCAAGGCGGGGATTGTGTTGATGGGTTAAGGGGATTGGAGATTAAGGGGAAGAAAGAAGATGACGAAGAAGAACAAGATGAGAAGAAACTTACTTTAGTTGAGGGTTTTTTTTTTAATACTTGAAAAATACTCCTTAAAAGTTTTAAGGTTTTTGTATTATTTAGTTTTTTTTATGTTGTAGTTTCTGTTAATATAGAATAAATGTTGTAAAATGTGAGCTTAATGAAATGGTATTTGATTCTGTTTTTACTTGGATGTTTTTATAATGTGGTTGATGATACAAAAAAAATTAAGATTAGTGTTGAGAGGAGTGCATACTCTGTTATTAGCGTGGTAGCAAAATTACTAAAGAATACAAGCTTTGTGGCCATCTACTTAAGATGAACGCTGAATTAAATGGAAAATTTTAACCAAATATCGATATCTTGGATGGCAAAAGTTGTAAGGATACGAAAATCCGAGGAAGTTTTAAGAACCTTAAAAGAATAGAATCTCCAAACAAAGTATAGAAGCCTCAATTCGGTCTAAACATATCAAAGCTAAAGGATGGAAATCTGATCATTTTTCTGCTGACTTTGACTTGGAGAAATTGAAGCTTCCCCGGGGCATTGGGATAATGTTCGATAGGCGGTGCGGTATTTCGGGCTCACGGCTCAGCTAGTGATAACAAAGGATTTGCCCATGCTCAACTCGTACACAAATTTGCCTTAGGCCACTTGAAAAATCGTGTTAAGTTGACTTTTATATTCCGTACAAGTCTATTGTCTTCCATTGTATAATTGGTACAATTTTGGACTGTACATTATTTTGTAATTAGCTTCTATTTACAAAAGCCAATGCAACAAATCTTCTTCAAACAAAGAATAATAGTTAGCATGCAAAACAGAACAATTTAGGTACTCCATATAATGTTAGATTTAGGACTTGTTCTCATTGACTGAACTCAGCTGAACTGAACTGAATTGGTTGAACTGAATATTTTATAAGAGAAGGAAATCAGAAGCTGAACTGAGCTGAACTGAATTTTAACGTAAGAGAACAAGCCCTGACTTATATAGTGCAATTCTACAAATAAGCTATGCATATTTCCACTTGAAGAGTGAACCTTATACATCTTGTTTATTATGCTTTCAAAATAGGAAGTAGTCTTGTCAAATGCACTTTAACTTTTGTTATATGGGTTTGACACGATTATGAGTTACTCATATAAAATTAAAAGCCATTCAAATAAAAGGAAAAAGAAAAGAGAAGAAATGGATAGATAAGGGTTTGAATATTTATCAGCTAAATGACTTCGCAAGTTTTGTCCATTACTGAAAAAAAATGATACACCATAGTTAACAAACGATGGAAATATCTACATATTCTCTAATGAAAATTTTATTTGAAGAAAGAATTAAATGAGAGATCACAGACATCCAAGGAAGGATAAAAACAGCATTAGCTATCAAGTATGCGCAGACAAAAGCTCTTGGGCGGCCACTGGGAATGTTTTGAGAAACAAGCCTTTTAATTTAGCATCATTGACCTCTCTAATCAAATTAATCATAACTCTTTATCAAATTAATTTTAACCACAAATCACAATTGACAAAGTTTAAAAACAAAGTCTCTATGTAGCCTCAGAAAGAGAGTCAAGAATCATCAAATATCAGATGGTAATTCCTGTTTCGGGGTTTTCTGATGTCCTGCGGGAGAGTTACAATTCCGAGACTGGAACCGGACGCATGTACCTGCAAAATAACGGAGACTCCTGGGAGCTCCGCCTCCAACGGTCAAGTTAGTACCTGATTAAGGAGTAATTAATGCGGAAATTAAAGTAATAAGGTCTCTTTAGGTGAGAGTGTTTAATGTAGGTAATCTGCTTTGTTAGCGAGATCAGCCGGTTATTAGTGTGTTCCGTAATGTTTCTGTTCTGTTCTCCCCCCCCCCCCTTAATGAGGATTAAGGGAGGTATTTATAACCTTGGGAAACGTGCCCATCCTAGGTTTAGGTAAACCTAGGGCCGATTGGGCTTCCCTCGGAAGTTGGGCCTGGGTGGCCGGTTTTCCCATTTAGCATGGGTGGGCACGTGGCGTGTCTCAATTGGTCCGTAGAGGACGTATCTGTGATTGACACGTGGCAGGCTCCTATTGGCCTACGTGAAGGACACGTGGCGGAACCTGGTTGGTCCACTTGTCAGACGGTGATTGGTGGATAAAAATCCCCTAATCATTTGCCCCTCACAGGTGGCACGTGACTGGTCACGTGTCACCTGTGACAGGTGCCGCACGATGACAGGCGACGGCCTGCTACAGGTGTCACCTTGCAAATGGCCGAGAGATTTTCCCGCCCAAATTTTGAATTTGGAAGCGACCCTTCGCCTTCTCACTTTGCCTATATAAGGAGGTGCTGACTTCGGTCATTTTCACATTTGAGAACTTTGCGAGAACATTCGGACCCCTAAACTTGCTCTGACACTTTGGACTTTTGTTGCCTACCGCCTGCTCTGACAAGCCGTTTGCAAAGGATTTCAGAATTTCATCAGTCGTCACTCGTTCAGGTAACCGTCGGTTTTCTTATTCTTAATTTTTTTTTCTTATTATTATTTTTTGAAATGGCACCATGGAAGCACACGACACGACCTAAGTTAGTGATCAGCCGGTCACCGGGGACGGCTGAATCTAGGACTAGGAGTGCCGCCTGCCCTTTTCTGGACCCATCTTTGCCCTTTATACAAAGTCCGACTGTATCTGTGTCTATGCAGAACGTGATGGCCAGAACAAAGAAGACTGCTAGGATCTCAAATTCGGACGGCTCCTCCCAAAGGGTGCCCATTAGTGAAACATCTGACCAGGCGCCAGATGTAGATGGGAAACAAGGCGGCTGCCAAGCCGACAGTTCTGAGGGAGGGGTCAAGGTGATTCCTTCCCATTTGACCGTTGATATGTCTAACTTTTCTCCTGCTCCTTCTAAGGGAGAGGAGGCGGGCCCCTCGGGGAGAGGGGAGGAGTCGTCCTCTTCGGACTCGTCAGAGGACGAGTCCGAGTCCAGCTCTTCTGGCCACGCTTCTCCAGGCTCAGAAGAAAGAAACAGCCGCCTACAAGAGGCGAGGCTTTCTCATTTAGTTGAGAAGGGGGGCAATTGGGCGGAGCCGTCCGCCTCTTACAGAGAGGAGAACACCCCCTACTACTGCACGGTACCCCGGGGCCGGATCGCGGCCATGAAAGACAAAGTGGAGAGCTTTATAGCTAACCACAGAATGGGCCCCGGATTTTTACTGTTCGTGCCGGATCCAGAAGACACTGTCGTCTGGCCGGCTGGTACCAGCTATGATGGCGGCTACTTTGGCTGCTATGAGGCGGCCATCAAAGCTGGGCTGCGCTTCCCATTACATCCGGCTGTTCAGCGGATTTTAGACGGGTATGATTTGGGGTTATGGCAGTTAGCCCCCAACTCTTGGGTAAACGTACTCGGCTATGTGGCCGGGTGCGAAATGTACGGGGTGGAGCCAAACTTTGAGGCTTTCGCCCACATGAACTATCTCAGCCGGACCCCTAAGTCGGGAGGTACCGGCTGGTATCAATTAACAAGCCATAGGGGCTACCTCATGACGAGAGGTAAGGCGAACAAATGGAAGGATTGGCGGAACACCTTCCTTATCATCGAGGGTTCAGACACGGAGTTGAACAAACGCTTTAACAAGTGGAATAGGGATCCGCCTATTCTCGCAGGCGGCCGCAGCATGCCGCCTGTTCCCCAAAGGCTAAAAAAGAGATCCTAGACAAAGGACTCTTCAAAGTAGAGACTAGGGTGAACTCTACTTCAGGGGTACGAGAGCAAGTACCCCTGAACTGCGTCCCGAGCTTCAAGTGGCTCTATGACGAGTACTTTTTGGCCGCCTGTGGCCTCAGCAGTCGGTGCTCTAGAGGTAGCCGGCCTGACGAATACTCTGTTTTTCACGCCTTGTTTACTTGGAATTTTTACTAACTTTGCTGTTTATTTTTTGCAGCTGACGCCATGAGTAAAATAACAGCATCCAAGATTGCGGCGACCATGTTGCGGGCCTCTCTCATGCAACAGTCCTGTACCGACTCCCCCAACAAGGGGGCACCCTTGGTAGGCCTCGAAACTCTTCCTCTTTTAGGAGTTGTTGTCTTATGCATATACTAACTTTTTTTTTTTTTTTTTTTAGTCGGGCACTCCAAGAGCTTCTTCCTCGCAACAGCCGGACCCCAAGGCCCGGAGGACGACTGTTGCAAGCTCTCCTGGGTCTTCCAGGAAAACAGTGGCGGCTGAGAAGCAGCCGGCCACTTCTTCTAAAACTCCGGCGGGGCCGCCTAGAAGTATGGACAATTACTTGTAAAAACTTTCACTTGCTTCCTTCTTGAGTAGGTCTAACTTGCTTTTTTACGCTTGATGCAGCCGGCCCTCAGGAGCCTGACTTGGTAGAGGTAGCCAAGTCCATGATCAAAGCAGTTCCTCCTTCTGAAAAGGAGGCGGTCAGGGGTGTCGGCACCCTTGACCTTGATGGGATTGCAGGGGTCCTTGCTGAGGTATACTTGACATATTTTTGAGTATTTGAATTCCAGGACGCCTGTTATCTTTTTTGTTTGGAAACTGACGCCTATTTTTTTTACTTAGGCCATGCTCCGAGTTAACGGCCTTCGCAAGCCGATTGATCGGAAGAACAAGGAGGTAAAGGCTGCAAAAGCTATGGCCGCCTCTGACTGTGATAAGGCAATGTTTCAAATTGCCCAAAATGAAGTACTGACCATTGATATTCTTTATTATCAGGCGCAGGCTACCGCCGCTGTTCGGGCTCAGTTAGAGGCGGCCCAGAAGAGGAACAGCGAGCTGGAGGCGACCGTCTCCAATCTCAAGGCCGAGCTTAAACCTCTCCGCCAAAAGATACTCTCATACGATGCCATAGAGAAATCCTTGGATAATGTAAAGGAACGCCTGGTGACCCAGGAGAAGAGTCTAACTAAAGAGCTCTCGGAGAAGGCTGAGCAAGAGAAGAGAGAGCTCGTCCGAGAGATGATTGAAGACTCTTCCCAGATCCAGCGCATGACCTGGAGCCGCCTCTTCCCCAGTGCCGACTTTGCCTCTTGGGAAAGAACGTACCGCCAGTGTTCGGAAACATATAATCAAGAGATCCTGACGGCTGCTGAAGAAGAGGCGTTGGGAGAAGCGTCGGAGGAGGAGGAGGAGCCGGTTGTGGCGCTTGTGCCACTTGGGGGTAAGGCATCAAAAAAGGATGCAGCTGAA